CCTGCTTCAGCCCTCTTGAGTAGCTGGGACTACAGGCATGCACCATCATCCCTGGCTAATTTTCTATATATTGATTTTAGTTGTTCGCTAATTTCTTTCTATTTTTAGTAGAGGCGGGATCTCACTCTTGTTCAGGCTGGTCTTGAACTCCTGACCTTGATTGATCCTCCTGCCTCAGCCTCTCAGAGTGCTAAGATTACAGGCGTGAGCCACCATGCCTGGGTTGTCTTGTCTTTTTAAATTCATTTATTTATATTTTTTCCATATTATCCTTCAGAAATGACAATCTGTCTTGTCTTAATGTTCCTCCACATTATGTTCCTCCATAATTCTTCTTAATTATGCTACAAGGAGGTAGAGGAAAACATTTGGAGTAATACATTATGATTATGGAGAAAATCTTAAATCTTATTTATATGAAAATATATTAACATACATTATGGATAGTAAGATGAATTTTTGTTTCAAATACATTCTTCAGGCGGGCGGCGTGGGCCTCCACGCCTGGTAATCCCTAGCTCTTGGAGCCGAGGCGGAGCGGATGCTCAGGTCAGGAAGTTCAAACCAGCCTGAGCAAGAGCGAGACCCGGTCTCATAACTATAAATAGAAGATTAATTTGGCCACTGATATATATATAAAAAAATTAGCCGGCATCCGGTGCGCATGCTGTAGTCCAAGCTGATCCGGGAGGCTGAGGCAGAAGGACCTTGAGCCCAGGAGTTTGAGTGCTGTGAGCTGGCTGACGCACGGCAACTCCTCAAATAGCCTGGGCAACAAAGCGAGACTCTGTCTCAAAAAAATAAATAAATAAAAAATGAAAACAAATAGCATTCTTTGTTGTAGTCTCTTCCATGCTGTAATCCTTTCAAGCACTACATAAAATTCTTATAAAGAGACATTGTAATTAAGTTAGCCTCTGTAAGCAGAGTTTTAGCAAATTGTGACCACCCACTCATTGGGGGCGGGGAAAAATTGCGCTACCACCTATATTTGCAAAAAGATTGTTAATTGAAGCACAACTATACACGATGTACTTGACATATTATGAAGCTGCTTTTCTCTGCTATGGCTGATTGAGTAGTTTTGTGAGAGGTATAGCCCACAAAGCTGCAATATTTACTGGTCTGGCTGTTTATAGAGAAAAATTGCCAAACTTTTGCTTATAATCAATGGTTTCCTTTCGGTAATGGGAGTTTTGAACTGGAACTGAAAGAGGTAGGCAATAGGAATGGGGAGAGCCTGTCACTGATCTAGCTTTTTCAGACTTACAATCTTCTTATGTTTTTAATTGTGGATATAATTAACTGATCAAAAATAATTAATGAGAACTAAATAAAGATAACCAAGTATCTGTATTGTATGGCTGTATATTTTTTGGGGAGGGAGCAGTGAAATAAACTTAGTTTAACCATTTTTACAACAGATTAGATTGCGTCTAAACTTTAGCCCATAGAATAATTTCGTCTTGTTAATTTTGGGAAAATCTAGAATTTTCTTGAGGTCTGGAAATATAATGCGAAAGGGCAAGGGGACACATTTTTATGAGAGTTACGACTTTCAGAATGATGCCAAACTTTTATAGTGAAGTCTGAATTAAATATAGTTTTTATAATCTTATCATAGTCCTAAGTTTTAACATAAGAGAAAAGTCATTATACAAATTAATAAGTGAGTATTACTCAATTCAACAGTTGTTTTGAACACCTTACTTTGTGCCAGGTACTATTTTGAGGTAGCAAGGGATGAGCAGAGAAGCAAGTCAAGTCAAATTCATGCCCTCGAAGAGCTTATATAATATCTCTAGTGATGTGACACGGAAAAATACTAACATTATAAAATAATCTATAAATAAATAGATATATTTCAAACAATATAAAATATTTTTTGCTGAGAAATGAACAAAGTAGAAGAGAAATGAAGTGATATTGTTCAGTAGAGTGTTGAGGTAAGGCCTTCTGTGGAGGGATAACTTAGTATTTCTGAATGAAGTGAAAGGTGGGTCCCTGTGAATAAGTGAGGGACGAATATTCCACCAAGTAAAACACAGAAATGCAAGGATCCTTGAAGAAGAGACAAGCTTGAAGGACATCAGGAGGCAGCAAAGAAGACAAGGTATGACTGGGATAGAATGGAGTCACTGGGGTAGGAGAGCGCGGAGCGAGACATAGCAGAATCCAGTCGTAGGTCTTAAGCAGCCATGGTGTAGAACGTTGCTCTTTTTTCAGTATGAGCACAGTACTTTGAGGTTGTGTCACAGGCATGTCGCCATGATTTGGTTTGCTGTTTTGACAGGATTTTCTGGCTGCTATTTTTGTATACGAGAAGCAGAGTGAACAGGAAATCAACCTTTAGGAGGGAGGGCACTACAGTTAGTTCAGATAGTTTTGGATTACGGAGTGGTAAAACTGCGGAGAAGTCGTAGTATTTGGGGCAATGCTTGATGCATATGTTAAATGGAAACTGGGGGAAGGACAAATTTGTGTGGTGGGACAATAAGAGTTATATAATGCACTGTGAAGTATGATACCCTACTTAACTGACATTCACATGGTGTTGTGTGGTGGGACTGCCCTGGAGTTCGGGTAGCTTGTTGCGTCTCCTCCATACTAGATTTGGATGTTGTAAGCAAGCCTTAAAATAGCTAATTTAAAGCATGGGAAAAGAAAAAACTAAGAAATTACTATGCGACGGAGAGTCTGAAGACTAGTGCTGGGAGTATTGTCTGGAAGAGGACATGAAATGATTTAGCAATGAGCCCCAGAAGGTGCAGGCCAGTGAGGTAGAAGGAAAACTGAGTGCTTTCAGAAGACATGAAACGGGGTCAATGTATAACCTTTGTCAACTGTTGAGGTGGACGTAAGAGCAGTTGTAGACTGGGAAAGTACATTGCATTCTGGCAAATGCTGAGGTTTCTGGTGTGTTGTAGTGTAGGTTTTTTTTTTCTTTTTTTGTTTTGGTCCAGTGAAGGACCAACTGAATAATAAAGCAAATAAATCACGCAGCATTTTAGTATGCGTTTCTCTTTTGTTTTAATTTGTACATTAGAGGTCTATCATAATATCGTTATATAGTAGTGCCCCCTTATTTGTGGGAATATGAGCCCCAGGAGAGAGCCTGATTATTTCAGTTCAAGACTGAATGTGACAAGAGTTGCCTTGGAAGGAACTGATTACTGTACATAAATATAACCAAGAGGAAAGGCAGAGTCATTGGTATATAGATGCAAGTACATTCATAAATTTGATAGTGGAAAAATGAAACAGGGTTGTTCACTAAGAATGATGATAGAGACAAGAGTTTGAGAAAGGAGTAAGAATGATCTTGGGAGAACTGTGAGTGAGTAAAGTAAGGATTGCCAGGCAGTGCTGAGTGTCCCATCTGAGGTTTATGGTTGTATATTTTCTTCTGCCATGTTTTGTCTAGGGATTTATTTCAGTGATTTATCGAACATGATCATGACTTTGTATTTTATTAATCCATTCTTGGATTGATGGGCACTTGGGCTTTTCACAGCCTTGCAATTATGAATTAACACAATGAATTTTTTGCTATGGAGTGATGCAATATGAGTTATTAAGTTTCAGGCTAGAAGGCTGGAAACCAAGGAACCCTGGAATCATCACTATTTGAGGGATAGTTGGAAATGGAAGAGAAAGTAAAGCTGACTTTCTTTATATTGATAATTCATGTGGGGAGTAATTTCCTCACTAGGCTTTAAGCTTACTAAAGGCAGAGACTATATTTCTTTTGACTACTAAAATAAACACCTTCAAAAATATTTGATGACTGAATGAACAAAAAAAACCCCAGATGAATGAATGAATCAGAGGTGAAGTCAGAGCCATGAGAGAATAGAAAGTTTAAAACTGGAATAAGAAGAATTTCAGGCTGGAAAATATAACAAATAGAACCAAATGCTTTTAAATCAAGGAAAATAATATTTAATGAGTATATATTGGATTTAGTAATTTGAAAGTCCTTAGAGAGATCAGCTTTCACAGTGCGATAAGATTAGAAGTCAGATTATAATGTATTGCACATCTCTATTGTCCCATAAGAGAATGAGTAGGAAGATCATTTAAAATATTACACTGTGTCAATTTATTCATTGAGGAAGAAAAGTGGTAATAATCTGTACTATCTATTTAGTATTGTAGGTGAATGTAAGATCAATAATGGGTATGTATTTTTTTCTTCCATTTCAACAGGGGAACTAATCTCTATTAAATGGAATTGAAATTCATTTTTTTATTTGATTCTGATTTGAGAAGAAAATTGAAATGTGAATAATTTGCTTGGTCTTATTTCAAATGGACTTAACGAATTCATTTCCTAATAATCTTTATTTATTCTCAATTAGAACCTTTCCAATAACATTCCATTTTCATCATAGAATAAAGTTTACTCTTATTCTATACTGTGGCAAGCTTGTATTTGACTGAAAGTTTGTAGGAAAAAGATTAAGGCTTGAAAGTATGTGGAATATAACTTCTGAAGAGTCAGAAAACTGAAAAGCATTTGAGGGCTGTTAATAAAAAGAATAGAAGTTACATATAGTATCATTAGAGTAGCTAATTTAGCAATTTGTTTTGTCATTTAGTTTATTGCTTATAATCAAATTTTAGTAGGGTCTCTAAAAAATATCTGTTAAATATTATATCTGCTGCATAAGTGATAGGTACTCTCATACAATACCAGGAGGACTATTGATACTTTGTCATATTTTAATATTGTCTAGATGAAAAGTTTATTTGAATTTTTCTTCTGTGATTGCTTTTTAAAAAATATAATAAAATAAACCTTGGGTATTTTTCCACCCATCTTCTGAAAAGATTATGGTCATTTTATGATTATAGTAGGTAATAAAAATCCAGAAGACTGAAGATAGTCCATAATATTATGTGAAAACTTGAATCTTTTTTGGTTTTTTGGTTATTAAATATAAACATTCAATACTCTTCATAATAAGTTCAAAAATTATCTCTGAATCTTTTTCTAGAATGATGACCAGCAAGAAGTGATCCTTGTCAGAACAGATCAGTCTGGTAGAGTATGGCCTGTGAACACACCAGGAAAATCTCTGGAATCAAAAGGAGGAAGAAGGAAGAGACAGATGGTATGTTTAACATATGTCTTTGTTTATTAATTCTGAATTAATTCCTCTTGGAACTTTCTTTGCATCAAACTACAAAATATTTTCTGAAATGTAGCTTTCTAATGGAAACACTGGAAATTATGTAAATTATGTTAGGTTTTTTTTGTTTTTTGAGACAGGTTCTCACCCTGTCTCCCAGGCTGGAGTGCAGTGATGTCATCATAGCTCACTATAACTCTGATTTTCTGGACTCAAAAGGATTTACCCGCCTCAGCCTCCAAAGTGCTGGGTTTATAGGCATGTACCACCATGCCTGGCCGACTGTGTTACTTTTATTCTTAGTTATATCCCATGGCCTTTTACAAAATGGAATTTAATTCAACTGCATTTTTTTCAAATAATTGTGAATATTGAATGTTTAAGGCAATTTTAATTTTAGTGCACATTTCTTTGGTGTTTTTAGCCTTTTTTTGTATACTTACCATAGCTCTTAGAGAAAACCTCAGTCTCCCAGACCTGTTTCTTGTGTTAGACAGCTAATTTGAGACTGGGTGATGGGGTATTCATATGCAGTTGTGTCTTAATTATATAGGTACTGTGATCCTGTAGAAACCTAATTTTCTTTTCCATCTTTCAGCTCTAGCAATTAGTTTTTAGCACTACCTTGAGGCTCTTGAGATGGCAAAAACAAATATTCAGTTTTCCCAAGCTAGGTTTTTTTATTTTGAAAGATCATACTCATGATAATTGGGTACACAAAAGAATTGTTCATTTGGAATTTTTATGTCAAATGTTTATAACTTGCCCATTGATTGCCTATGATGCTAGAGATACTAATTAATTTACTCAACAAATAGAAGTGGGATGGATACCTCTCTAATGTAATGAGAGGAATTTGGGGATTGGAGAGAGGAAGTGGTAGGGGAATAAGTAAAAGTTTGAAGTATGTGAAATGGCAGAAATGAATAGTTATCCATAAATGCATTGTCAGAAGGCATCGAGGGCCCTTGCATACTATGTACCTACTGAGCTATCTAGATGTAGGAGTAAAGAAGGAAGGCATATTTGTTCGGGGTTAGGGTTTGCTTTTTGGGTATAATGAAAAGATGAGAGAGCTGGAAATTAAGTGTCTGGAACCAGGGAGTGATTTAAGTCACGGAACATAAGATTTAGTGAAGACAAGAATAATAATGTTAGGAAAAATAGTGGGACCCTGGTTCCAAAGGTCTCAGAGGAGTCAAAGACTAGGTTTTTTTTTTTGGTTAAGGGAATATGAGAGCACCATTGGAGATATTTGATAGTGAGCAAATGAATAGCACTTTTCTATTCCACACCTGGATAATGAACCAACTAAAAAGAAAAAACCCAGGACTGAATTAGATGGAGATTAGAATATCAGCTGTTTTTGATAAAGCTGTTTATGGAACAAGGGTTTAATAATTAGAAGTGGGTGACTTACTTAGGGATACTATAACAGCATACTGTAGACTGGATGGTGTAAACAACATAAATGTATTTCCTACAGTTCTGGAGACTAGGAAGTCCAAGATCAGAGTGCTGGTAGATTCAGTTTCTGGTGAGATCATACTTCTTGATTTGTAGAAGGTGGTCTTCTTCTTGTAGCCTCATATGGCAGAGAACAGAGAGAGAGAGAGAGAGAGAGAGAGAGAGAGAAAGAGAGAGAGAGAGAACAAGCTGTCATATCTTTTGACAGGGTTACTAATCCCATCTATGAGGGCTTCACCCTCATCACCTAATTACCTCCCAAAGACCCCCAACCTCCTAATAACTTCACATTGGGATTTCAATATATGAATTCTGGGGTGACACAAACATAAAGTCCATACCAGTGGAATTGCTCATACTTTACCTCTGTTTTTGATATACTTATTTTATCTCTGGATAACTACAGTCTTCCCTCAACAATGGTAAGGAATTTTAACTGCAAGGAAGAGAAGAACAGAAAAGAGAAAAGAAGGGATAGAGTAGTTTTGCTCTTTCCTCTAACCTTGGAAACCAGATAAAGTCATGACTTTATCCCTGGGGAAATGGAGAGTAAAGGGGCAGAAAAAGTAGGGCGTGTTATTCTAATGGAAGTTCTTTCACATGGAAGCAGGTAGAATAGGGATAAACTGGATGGAAATGTTGTGATGCATAGTGGAATTTTTGCATTTAGTATTAGATTTATAGGTAGTCTATTAAAAAATACTTCAGAGATTCATGTTTTCCCTAAATTAATAATGTTAATTTTGTCATAGGTTTCAACCCATGAGGAAAAAGAAAGGGTCAGATACTTTCATGATGATGATAATCTAAGCCTAAATGATTTAGTCAAAAATGAAAAGATGGGAACGGCAGAAAATCAAAACAAACTTTTTATGAGAATGGCGTCTAAGGTAAGATATATTCCTAGGATATAGTTAAATTTTGGAAGCTGATTCTTTAACAGTGATCTACCTTTCAGAGAGATTGGGTTCTCTTTAAGTCTTGATTTCTTTTAGTAAATTAAATTCTTTGTAAGACACATTAAGAACAGGAATTTTGAAATCAATCTGATTGAGAAATACACATTTGAAATTGTGTTTGTTTTTAAATATAGACTATGGTTTACTTCTTTAATGTATTCTATGAAGATTTTAATTATATATTTGATCTACTACCATTTAAGAGAAAGTTTTAGGCCAGAGTTTAATGATTGGCAATATGCTGCTGGTTAGGTTATCATTCTGTCTTGTCTTTTTTTTTTTTTTTTTTTGAGACAAAGTCTCACTCTGTTACGCAGGCTAGAGTGCGGTGGCATCAGCCTAGCTCACAGCAACCTCAAACTCCTGGGCTCAAGCGATCATCCTGCTTCAGCCTCTTGAGTAGCTGGGACTACAGGCATGCACCATCATGCCTGGCTAATTTTTTCTATATATTTTTAGTTGTTCGGCTAATTTCTTTCTATTTTTAGTAGAGGCGGGATCTCACTCTTGTTCAGGCTGGTCTTGAACTCCTGACCTTGATTGATCCTCCTGCCTCAGCCTCCCAGAGTGCTAAGATTACAGGCGTGAGCCACCATGCCTGGGTTGTCTTGTCTTTTTAAATTCATTTATTTATATTTTTTCCAATATTGTCCTTCAGAAATGACAATCTGTCTTGTCTTAATGTTCCTCCAATTATGTTCCTCCATAATTCTTCTTAATTATGCTACAAGGAGGTAGAGGAAAACATTTGGAGTAATACATTATGAATTATGGAGAATAATCTTAAATCTTATTTATATGAAAATATATATTATTTTAACATATCATTATGGATAGTAGGATGAATTTTTGTTTCAAATAGCATTCTTTGTTGTAGTCTCTTCCATTGTAGTCCTTTCCAAGCACTACTATTAAAATTTTTTATAAAAGAGACATTGTATTTAAATTAGCTCTGTAACAGAGTTTAGCAAATTGTGATCACCCACTCATGGGAAAAATTGAGCCTACCACCTATATTTGCAAATAAAGTTTTATTGAAGCACAACTATACACATGTACTTACATATTATCTAAGGCTGCTTTTGCTCTGCTATGGCTGAGTTGAGTAGTTGTGAGAGGGTATAGCCCACAAAGCTGCAAATATTTACTGTCTGGCTGTTTATAGAAAAAAATTGCCAAACTCTGCTTTATAATACCAATGGTTGCCTTTCAGTAATGGGAGTTTAAACTGGATATCTGAAAGAGGTAGGCATAGGATGGGGAGACCTTCACTGTCTATCTTTTCAGACTTACAATCTTTTATTTTTTAATTGTGGATATATTACCTGATCAAAAATTAACTTAATGAGAACTAAAATAAAGATAACCAAGCTGTCTGTATCTGTATGTGTATGTGTTTTGGGGAGGAGACAGTGAAATAAACTTAGTTTAACATTTTTACCAAGAATTAGATGCGGTCTTAAATTTAGCCCATTAGGATAATTTTTCGTCTGTTAATTTTGGGGAAAATGCTAGAAATTTTCTAGGGTCTGGAAATTTAATGCAGAAAGGAAGGGGACACATTTTTATGAGAGTTACCTTTTCAGAAATGATGCCACTTTATATGAAGTCTGAATTAAATATAGTTTTACTAATCTTATCATAGTCTAAGTTTATACATAAGAGAAAAATCATTATACAAATTATAATAGTCATTTACTAATTCAACAGTTGTTATTGAACACCTACTTTGTGCCAGATACCTTTTTAGGTAAAGGGATACAGAGAAGCAATCAAGTCAAAATTCATGCCCTCAAGGAGCTTATATAATATTTCTAGTGGATGTGACAAGGAACAAATACATAATATAAAATATTACATAACATAAATAATATATTACAATATAGAAAATATTTTTGTAGAAAATGAAGCAAAGTAGAAGGAGATGAAGTGATATTTTCAGTAGAGTGTTGAGGTAAGGCCTTTCTGTGGAAGGGATACTTTAGTATTCTCTGAATGAAGTGAAAGAGTGGTCCCTGTGAATAAGTGAGGGACGAATATTCCAAGTAAAAGACACAGAAAATGCAAAGGATCTGAAGAAGAGACAAGCTTGAAGGACATCAGGAGACAGCAAGAAGACAAGTATGACTGGGGAGTAGATGGAGGTAGACTGGGGAGTAGATGAGGGAGGAGACATAGCAGAATCAGATCACGTAGGGTCTTACAGGCCATGGTGTGAGAACTTCTGCTTTTCTTTCAGTGATGAGAAGTATTTGAAGGTTTGTCACAGGGCTGTGCCATGATTTGGTTTCTGTTTTGACAGGATTTTTCTGGCTGCTATTTTGTATAGAGAAGCAAGAGTGGAAGCAGGGAGATCACTTAGGAGGGAGGGCACTACATTAGTTCAGATAGAGTTTTGGATTAGGGTGGTAAAACTGGTGAGAAGTGTTAGTATTTGGGGCAATGCTGATGCCATATGTTGAAATGGGAAAAACTGGGGGAGGGACAAATTTTGTGTGGGGTGGGAAATCAAGAGTACTATAAATGACATGTGAAGTATGAAATACCTATTAGACATTCACATGGTGTGTGGGGTGACTGCCCCTGGAGTTCTGGGTAGTTGTTGGTTCCTCCATATAGATTTGGATGTTGTAAGCACTTAAATAGTATTTAAAGCCATGGGACTTAAGAAATTACTAATGAGGAGAGTCTGAAGACTATGCTGGAGTACTGTCTGGAAGAGGACAGAAATGATTTAGCAAATGAGACCAAGAAGGTGCAGCCAGTGAGGTAGAAGGAAAACTGAGTGTTTCAGAAGACAGAAAGGAGGTAATGTATAACTTTGTCAACTGTTGAGGTTGAGTAAGAGCATTGAAGATGGGGAAATGACCATTGCATTTGGCAATGTGGAGGTTTCTGGTGTTTTTGGTAAGTGTGGTTTTTTTTTTTGGTCCAGTAAGGACCAATAATAATACAGCAAATAATAGAGCATGTTTATATGTTTTTCTTTTGTTTAATTTGTACATTAGGAGGTCTTATCATAATATTTATATAGTAGTGCCCCCTTATTTGTGGGGAATATGAGCCCCAGAGAGAAGCCTGATTATTTCAGTTTCAAGACTGAATGTGACAAGAGTTGGCCTTGGGAAGGAACTGATTACTGTACATAAATTATAACAAGAGGAAAGGCAGAGTATTGGTATATAGATGCAAGTACGTTCATAAATTTGATAGTGGAAAAATGAACAGGGTTGTCACTAAGAATGATGATAGAGAAAGAGGTTTGAGAAGGAGGTAAGAAATGATCTTTGGGAGAACCTGTGAGTGAAGTAAAGTAGGATTGCCAGGCAGTGCTGAGTGTCCATCTGAGGTTTATGGTTGTATATTTTTCTTCTGCCATGTTTGTCTAGGGATTTTATTTCAGTGATTTATGATACAATGATCATGACTTGTTTACTTTTTTTTTTTTTTTTTGAGACAGAGTCTCACTTTTGTTGCCCAGGCTAGAGTGAGTGCCGTGGCGTCAGCCTAGCTCACAGCCAACCCTCAAACTCCTGGGCTCAAGCGATCCTCCTGCTCACCTCCCAAGTAGCTGGACTACAGGCATGCGCCACCATGCCCGGCTAATTTTTTGTATATATATTTTTATTGTCAATTAATTTCTTTCTATTTTTAGTAAGAGACGGGTCTCGCTCAGGATGGTTTCGAACTCCAACCTTCGAGCAATCCGCCCGCCTCGCCTCCCAGAGTGCTAGGATTACAGGCGTGAGCCACCGCGCCCGCCTTTTTACTTTTCATATTAATATTTTACCTCCATTGCTTATTGCTTTGAGGATACAAATAGTAGAGCATGCTTTTATGTTTTCTTTAGTTTAATTTGTATATTATGGATCTTATAATATTATATGGTAGTTCCCCCTATTTATGGGGGATATGTTCAAAGGACCCAGTGGATACCTGAAACTATTACCAAACCCTGTATATACTGTGTTCTTTTCCTTTCTTACATACCTATCATAATTTTAATTTATAATTAGGCACAACTAATATAAAAGTAGAACAGTTATAACAATATGCAGCATCACTATTCATGTGCTTTAGGGCCAATTATTAAGTAAAATAAGGGTTGCTTGAACACAAGCACTGTGATACCATCACAGTCAATCAGATAACTGAGATGGCTACTAAGTGACTAACAAGTAGATAGCATATACAGCTTGGGTACGCTGGAAAATGGGATGATTAATGTCCCGGGCGGGACAGGAGTGAAATAGCACAAGATTCATCATGCTACTCAGTACGGCACACAATTTAAACTTTTATGACTTTTTTACTTCTGGAATTTTCCATTTAATATTTTTAGACCATTGTTGACTGCAGATAACTGAAAACTATGGAAAATGAAACCACAGTTGAGGAGAGACTACTGTTTTGTATAGGATTGTTTTTTTTTTTTTTTTTTCTTTCGGCATATTATGGGGGTACAGATTTTAAGGTTTCAATAAATGCCCCTTCCCCCTACCCCCCACAAGTCTGAGTTTCCAGCATGACCATCCCTCAGATGGTGCACATGTCACTCATTAGTTATATATACCGCCCCCTCTCCCAATACCCTATACTGTAGTACTTATGTGTCCACTTAGGTGCTACTCAGTTAATACCAGTTTGCTGGTGAATATATGTGGTGCTTGTTTTTCCATTCTTGGGATACTTCACTTAGTAGTATGGGTTCCAGCTCTAACCAGGAAAATATAAGATGTGCTATGTCACCATTGTTCTTAGAGCTGAATAGTACTCCATGGTACATATACCAGATTTTATTAATCATTCTTGGATTGAGGGCACTTGGCTGTTTCCACAGCCTTGTAATTATGAATTGTGCTGCTATAAACATTCGAGTGCAGGTGTCTTTTTTGTAGAGTGTCATTCGATCTTTTGGGTAGATGCCCAGC